GGGTAGCGTAAGGAGTAGTCACGCAGGCCAGGTCAGCAACGTGCGGGCAGTGAGGTACCAGAGGAGCAGGCAGAGAATGGTCAGGGTCACGAGCCGGGTTCAGCAACTAACGGGCAGCGTGGTACAGAGGATCAGGCAGAAGAATGGTTGGTCAAGCCAGGAGTCAAGCAGGAGACAATCAGCAGGGTCAGGATCAAATGCAGAAGTCGGCAACAGGAAGTTTCACAGGATCAGAATACAGGAACAGGACAATAAGACCAAACGGCAACTTGTGTCTGTGCAGGGCTGGTTTAAATAGCCCACCCGGCGCTGACAGGTGCGCCTGGGTCCTAGTGCCTGCCAGCGGCGTCATAGGTGACAGGCGCGCCTGGGTCCTAGTGCCCGCTTGCCTGCATGTCTTGTCGGACACCTACGCATGTGCAGACTCGTGCGTCGCGGTGATCCCTGACACCCTTCTCCCCCCCCCCACCTCCATCAGTGGCCCTTCTCTCCTCCCCACCTCCATCAATGGGCCTTCCTCCCCACATCTCTATTAATGGGCCTTCCTCCCCCCACCTCCAACAAGGAGCCTTCCCTCCCCACCTCCAACAATCAGCCTTCCCTCCCTACCTCCAACAATCAGCCTTCCCTCCCTACCTCCAACAATCAGCCTTCCCTCCCTACCTCCAACAATCAGGCTTCCCTCCCCACTCCATCAATGAGCCTTCCCTCCCCACCTCCATCAATGAGCCTCCTCACCTTCATCAATGAGCCTTACCTCCCCACCTCCGTCAATGAGCTTTCCCCTCACCTCCATCAATGAACCTTCTCTTCCCACCTCCATCAATCAGCCTTCCCTCCCCACCTCCATCAATCAGCCTTCCCTCCCCACCTATATCAATCAGCCTTCCCTCCCCACCTCCATCAATCAGCCCCCCCACCTCCACCAATGAGCCTTCCCTTCCCACCTCCGTCACTGAGCTTTCCCTTCCCACCTCCATTACTGAGCCTTCCCTCCCACCTCCATCAATGAGCCTTCCCTCCCCACCTCCATCAATGAGCCTTCCCTCCCCACCTCCATCAATGAGCCTTCCCTCCCCACCTCCAACAATTAGCCTTTCCTCCCCACCTCCATCAATGAGCCTTCCCTCCCCACCTCCAACAATCAATCAGCCTTCCCTCCCCACCTCCAACAATCAATCAGCCTTCCCTCCCCACCTCCAACAATCAGCCTTCCCTCCCCACCTCCAACAATCAGCCTTCCCTCCCCACCTCCAACAATCAGCCTTCCTTCCCCACCTCCATCAATGAGCCTTCCCTCCCCACATCCATCAATGAGCCTTCCCTCCTCACTTCCAAAAATCATCCTTCCCTCCCCACCTCCACCAATGAGCCTTCCCTCCCTACCTCCACCAATGAGCCTTCCCTCCCTACCTCCACCAATGAGCCTTCCCTCCCTACCTCCACCAATGAGCCTTCCCTCCCTACCTCCACCAATGAGCCTTCCCTCCCTACCACCATCAATGAGCCTTCCCTCCCCACCTCCACCAATGAGCCTTCCCTCCCCACCTCCACCAATGAGCCTTCCCTCCCTACCTTTACCAATGAGCCTTCCCTCCCTACCACCATCAATGAGCCTTCCCTCCCCACCTCCATCAATGAGCCTTCCCTCCCCACCTCCATCAATGAGCCTTCCCTCCCACCTCCATCAATGAGCCTTCCCTCCCCACCTCCATCAATGAGCCTTCCCCCCCCACCTCCATCAATGAGCCCCCCCCCCACCTCCATCAATGACCCTTCCCCCCCACCTCCATCAATGACCCTTCCCCCCCCCCACTCCATCAATGACCCTTCCCTCCCCCCCCACCTCCATCAATGACCCTTCCCTCCCCCCCCACCTCCATCAATGACCCTTTCCTTTCCCCCACCTCCATCAATGACCCTTCTCTCCCCCACCTCCATCAATGACCCTTCTCCCCCCCACCTCCATCAGTGACCCTTCTCTCCTCCCCACATCTCCATCAATTGGCCTTCCTCCCCCCACCTCCATCAATGAGCCTTCCCTCCCCGCCTCCATCAATGAGCCTCCCTACCTCCATCAATGAGCCTTCCTTCTACGAGACATTTCTTGGGGCTGCAGTTCCCCTGAGCTCTACAAGGTGGGGATCTCACTTCTTCCCAGACAGGAAGTCTCTATGGAAGACAGGAAGTGATGTCAGGTATAAATAGGACATTCCCGGTGAACGGTGGAGGAAGTGGAGAGGAGACATTGCTGGAAGTGGCAACAGAGGAGGTAATAAGATCTTTTTTTATATATTTACACCCAGTAACTCCCCCGTCATGTCCGTCCTCTTCCTCCATAGTCACATCCGTCCTCTCCCCCTCCATCGTCATATCTGTCCTTTTCCTCCACCGTCGCGCCCGTCCTCCTCTTCCTCCATCCTCGCGCCTGTCTTCTTGTTCCATAGTCGCTCCCGTCCTCTTCCTCCAGAATCTTGCTCGTCCTCTTCCTCATAGTCGCGCCCGTCTTCTTCCTCCATAGTCGCGCCCGTCCTCTCTCCTCCATAGTCGCGCCCGTCCTCTTCCTCCATAGTCGCGCCCGTACTTTTCCTCCAGAATCTCACCCATCCTCTACCTCCATCGTCACGCCCGTCAACAAGCAGCACTGACAATAAACAGACAAGACAATGACCATACATGGCCTACAGAGAAACGTTAGGACGTTAGGGGCCTCTGAAGGGGTAGAATAGCTGAAGGATTCGGGGACCCTTGAGGGGGCAATCAGGCTGCAGGGAATAGGGGGCTGGAGGGCTCAGAGGGACTCTGAGGGAGGGAGGGGGGGTCTCTGGGTCTGTGAACGCCCTCCCACCCTACCCGCACTTATATTTCAAACCTTACAGAACTAACTACTCTAACCATGTGACCGTCTCACTGATCATGTGATGTGTTCTGGAATATCACGTAAGATGAAGAAGGACATTCCATCACTCATTGGTGAGTATTTGTTCTGAGAGGAGTTCTGTTTCAGCTACAAATCCAACAGAGAAAAGGGAATTTCTGATCCAGCAGATGAAGAGGGTCCTGGGACCTCCAAGATGTAACAAACACTAAACTGTACAAACTAAATGTGTTCCCATGGGAGTTGTAGTTCTTCAATGTCCGCCAACCCTCCTATTACCCCTCCCATCCACATCCTATTACCCCCCAATCCACATCCTATTATTGTGTGACCAATACCATCCAAATCATTCTTACTTTCATTTCCCAAAGTGATTAGTCTACAAGGAGACCTGTATAAACCAATGAGGATGGAGGAGGACCGGAGTCACATGACTGAGAGGATACTAAACCTCACCCTAGAGATCATCTACCTGCTGACCGAAGAGGTGAGGAGGATTGTGGGAGGTCACATGACATCATTCTTATCTCTATTAATAAAAACACAGACCTGACCAGAGAGGTGAGGAGGATTGTGGGAGGTCACATGACATCACTCTCATCTCTATTAAAAAAACACAGACCTGACCAGAGAGGTGAGGAGGATTCTGGGAGTCTAACATGATATTCCTATTGGTTCCCCAATACAGAGATTTCCTCTTCTGAAGTCAGGTGATCATATGACCATCACAGTGCCTCCATGTGACTCCGTAAACCCTGAGAGACCCAACATGGAGAAGATTCTAGAAGTCACCAAGAAGATGATGGAGCTGCTGACAGGAGAGGTGAGCGGTGCCGGGAATTCTGGGACATTCTCCAGTAACAGACAAGGGATGTGTCTGGATGGTGACTGTATCATTTGTGTGTCAGGTTCCTATAAGGTGTCAGGGTGTCACTGTGTATTTCTCCATGGAGGAGTGGGAGTATTTAGAAGGACACAAGGACCTCTACAAGGAAGTCATGATGGACAATCAGCCGCCCCTTACATCACTGGGTAAGAGGAGAGGAGATGGATCCAGTCATGGGAGCCCAATAGAGAGATGTCCCCATCCTCTGTATTCCCGGGATTCCACACAGGAAGGTCACACCATCCCTCACCCTCATCAGGTAGATGAGGAACAATTATTGGTAGTTATGATTTATACACAGAATGTTTGTTACAATTAATGTTTTATTATGTATTCAGACTGGAATCCTTGGGGATGATAATATTGTTATTAAAGAAGAGTATAAAGAGGAGGATGAGGAGTATGGAGTGATGGAGGAATTTTCAGAAGTACACAAGGATATGATGGAGCCACCTAATACCAGGAACCCACCAGAGAGATGTCCCCGTCCTCTGTATTCCCGGGATTCCACACAGGAAGGTCACACCATCCCTCACTATTACAAGGTTGGTGGGACGGAGAATCTAGAACATGGACTCATGTAGACGATGTGCGGATTTTCTATTTGATGTCACAATAATAAATCTTCTATCTTAGAGATGATATTTGCTCTCCTTCTCTTGATGTAGAGTGGAGATCCAATCGATATAGAATTTGAGGTGAAATCAGAAGAAGAAGAGGCGTATGTGAGGGATGATCAGCAGTCTATGGAGGAGGATGGAATAACGGGGACATTTATAGAGGAGGACACTCCTACAGAGAACAGCACAGGTGGGTCATGAACACTAAATCAATTCCTCCACCCATACTACTCACTGATTGGTCCAGATGATAAAGTTCTCATTGGATCTCTCTGTCTGACAAAAGCCTGGAGCTCAAGAGGAACCATTCAACTTGTAAGCTCCTCAGAGACCAAGCTGCCTGATGTGGGGCCTTTCGTCCTATAAATCCCCTCATCACTCTCCCTCCTATAAAAGACAGTTCTGGTTGTTTCCTCACTCTCTGACTAAGGTCCATGAATAAAGAAATGACCTGGTAGGAGATCAGAGGAGCCATTTCCTAGTTCTCTTGAGGGTGGAATTGTAAGCTCCTCAGAGACCAAGCTGCCTGATGTGGGCGGAGTCCTGGTTTGGGGGAACCAATCAGCTCCTGTCTAGTAATCCTCTTTGTCTTTGTATTTTAGTCCATGGCTGGGAGATGAGGAAAACCTCCGAGGATTGTCTCACTTTGTCTCCAGACTGGAAAGTAGAAGATGAGGACATCACACAGTATAGTCCAGGAGAAAACCCGGCTCCCTCCAATGTCCATCCAGCACTACCCAGTATAGATGGACCATCGGATTCCTCGTATCCTGAGGAACCTCAGACTGTGCGGGACCGGGCTGGACTTCCAATAGACAAGAGGTTCTCCTGTACTGTGTGTGGGAAATGTTTCCGTTTTAAATATACTCTTACTGAGCATCAAAGGTCTCACACAGGTGACAAGCCATATTCCTGTCCTGAGTGCGGGAAATGTTTTTCACAGAAATCCAATCTTTCCAGACATCAGAGATCTCACACTGGGGAGAAGCCACTTTGCTGTCCTGAGTGCGGGAAATGTTTTTCACAGAAGTCCCATCTTTACAGACATCAGAGATCTCACACGGGGGAGAAGCCACTTTGCTGTCTTGAGTGCGGGAAATGTTTTTCACAGAAGTCCCATCTTTACAGACATCAGAGATTTCACACAGGGGAGAAGCCGTATTCCTGTCCTGAGTGCGGGAAATGTTTTTCAAGGAAGTCTGATCTTTCCAAACATCAGAGATCTCACACGGTGGAGAAGCTAAATTTCTGTCCTGAGTGCGGGAAATGTTTTTCAGATAAGTCCAATCTTTACAGACATCAGAGATCTCACACAAGGAAGAAGCCACATTCGTCTTCCGAGTGAAGGAATTGTTGGTCACTGAAATCCTGTCTTCCTGGACATCAGGGGGTTTATTTACTAAAGCTGGAGAGTCCAAAATCAGACTCCCTTCTGCATAGAAACCAATCAGCTTCCAGGTTTCATTGCCAAAGCTTCATTGAACAAGCTGAGGTTAGAAGCTGATTGGTTTCTATGCAGAAGGGAGTCTGATTTTGGACTCTCCAGCTTTAGTAAATAAACCCCCAGGGACCCCACACAACCCTGGAGGTGTATTAGTGCCTTGAGTGCGGGAAATGTCTTCTAGATGAATGTTGCTGGACTTCCCAGCTCTCATGTGGGGAAGAAGCACACCCTGATATACACCTCCCCATTCACACAGAAGGAATGTACATGCACGTTCTCTGGGTGATTTGCTATGAAGATTATTTATGAAGAGACCCCTAGATGTCAGACGTTTATATAAAGACAGGAAGTATGGAGCAGCTCAATGAATGGACTTCCCAGCGATGTTATTACCAGGCTGCAGCTAGGGGGTGCTCTAATGTTTAGAGTGTGACCACAGCAGGGAGATTCCAGGTTTTATTTCTCTTTTTTCCCCCCATTTTCTATGCTGGGATTTTATCTACAATACTTTTGCAGCACCCTCCTAGGTAGCTAGGGGGAGCTAGTGTTTAAATTCTAGTTAGAGGCTGAGTAGCAGCCTGTGGGTAATAGCCAGAAGGAGGTCGAATTCGGGTCAGAGCTGAGAAACTCTGCAGATCCTCTCTCTGACATGTCCCCCTACCATAGGACTTTGGAGAAAGTTCTAGAAGCAGTAGGCGGAGGTGAGGAGTGGCTGATCTGTACTTTTGATGGATCTTGGCAAATCCCCAACAGGAGGCTTGGCATGGGGTCAGGACAGCCTGTAAAAATGACAGAGCCTGCCCAGCAGCAGGAAATGGAAGAGGAAGTGAGGCTGGAGAGAGGAGCCTGTTGAGGGGGCCCAGATGGAGAGGAAGTCAGGCTGGAGAGAGGAGCCTGGCAGGGGGCCCAGATGGAGAGGAAGTGAGGCAGGAGAGAGAAGCCTGGGAGGGGGCCCAGATGGAGAGGAAGTGAAGCTGGAGAAAAGAGCCTGGGAGGGGACCCAGAGGGAGAGGCAGTGAGACTGGAGAGAAGAGCCTGGGAGGGGACCCGGATGGAGAGGCAGTGAGGCTGGAGAGAGGAGCCTGGGAGGGGGCCCGGATGGAGAGCAAGTGAGGCTGGAGAGAGGAGCCTGGGAGGGGGCCCCGGATGGAGAGCAAGTGAGGCTGGAGAGAGGAGCCTGGGAGGGGGCCCAGATGGAGAGCAAGTGAGGCTGGAGAGAGGAGCCTGGGAGGGGGCCAAGATGGAGAGCAAGTGAGGCTGGAGAGAGGAGCCTGGTAGGGGGCCCGGATGGAGAGCAAGTGAGGCTGGAGAGAGGAGCCTGGAAGGGGGCCCGGATGGAGAGCAAGTGAGGCTGGAGAGAGGAGCCTGGGAGGGGGCCCGGATGGAGAGGAAGTGAGGCTAGAGAGAGGAGCCCGGGAGGGGGCCCAGATGGAGAGCAAGCGAGGCTGGAGAGAGGAGCCTGGGAGAGGGCCCAGATGGAAAGGCAGTGAGGATGGAGAGAGGAACCTGGGAGGGGGCCCAGATGGAGAGGAGTTCACCTACAGGTGGAGGAGCTTGGAAGAAGGAAAGCTCGGGATTCATCGGCCCCCAAAGAGGACCACCTGTGCAGCAGGGAAGGAGCGGCAAGTGAGGCTGGAGAGAGGAGCCTGGGAGGGGGCCTGGATGGAGAGCAAGTGAGGCTGGAGAGAGGAGCCTGGGAGCGGGCCCAGATGGAGAGCAAGTGAGGCTGGAGAGAGGAGCCTGGGAGGGGGCCCAGATGGAGAGCAAGTGAGGCTGGAGAGAGGAGCCTGGAAGGGGGCCCGGATGGAGAGCAAGTGAGGCTGGAGAGAGGTGCCTGGGAGGGGGCCCGGATGGAGAGCAAGTGAGGCTGGAGAGAGGAGCCTGGGAGGGGGCCCGGATGGAGAGCAAGTGAGGCTGAAGAGAGGAGCCTGGGAGAGGGCCCAGATGGAAAGGCAGTGAGGATGAAGAAAGGAGCCTGGGAGGGGACCCAGATGGAGAAGGACTGAGGCTGGAGAGAGGAACCTGGGAAGGGGCCCAGATGAAGAGGAGTTCACCTACAGGTGGAGGAGCTTGGAAGAAGGAAAGCTTGGGATTCACCGGCCCCCAGAGCGAGGACCACCTGTGCAGCAGGGAAGGAGCGGCCCAGCTTGAAGGCCTGGTAGCCATCACCAACCCACCAGCAGCACAGGAGAAGGACTGAGCGAGTAGACCTGCACCCCCCGGGGCCAGATAGGGGAAGGAGCAATCTGGGGGGAAACTGGATTAGCATCTACCCAGGACTGTCTTCTTTTAAAGTGACAAGCACGGGATCTCCTGCTCAGGGATTCACCCAAAACTGCTGGATTAGGAGGATCTGGGGTCTGGGGTGGTACAAGCGGAGATCCTGGCTAGCTCTCCAAGAAGGGTTTTTGTGCAAAGACTTGTACATAGTTCAGGAAGATTGTCCTCAGTTACTGTTCTATTGGGCGTCCCGTACACCCCTTCCCCCATCCAAGGTACAATCCCCTAATAAAATCACAAACACAAAGCTCAAAGACTGCTTACTGACTCCTGGATACGTCTATGGGAAAATTTGTGTTGCCTGGCTGTGCAGGACTATAGGGGGACCCAAAACTTCTGTGTATTGTACACCAATCAATGATGACTAGATGACTACGCCTCCACATTCCAGACGGGATCTTCCCGACCAATCCGATTACTGCCTTTACTATTTCCTGATTCTTTAATTTGCAGTTTTGTTAAAAGTAAAATTATAATAAAAAGTTTATTGAACGATATAAATGGTGTGTGTCAGTGCGATGGCAATGAACTTCGATGTCCAGACGTTGCTCCTAGGTGACCCGTGAAAAGCTTTCACAACCTTGAATATTGGCCCGGAGTGCGTCAATCTGGAGTCTATGGTGTACAGCCCACCATACGGGGTGCAGAGGTGGGATGTAGTGTGCCCCCACCCCTGAACCATACCAGGCCACATGCCCACAACATGGGAGGGTCACCTTATCAGGGAGGGGTTTTCCTGGAGAAAGCACCTTGGCTGGTGGCTTTGGGGATCTGTGGGCGGGGGTCATACTGGATTCTTGAAGCCCCCTTTAATAATTAGGGGGTCTCATATACCTTCCCCCACGTGAAAGAGTTTGGGGTACATAGTACTGGACAGTAGACGTCTATACTGTCATCCTCTATGTGAACGGACGGAGATGGTGGTGACCCTCTTATCCAAATGTGACCAGTGGCCATATTTGGTCAGTGATGTCACTGCTGTCCCCACCCCCTTCCTTACATGGCATAGACCCCCAATGACATCACTGATTCCTGGGGATGTGGTCACTGCAAGCATCCATGGCTTCCTCAGGCACCAGGGACAGCGGGAAGCTGCTATCTATAGACGTGGAAATGTCTCTTCTATATGTGATGATCGGCTCCTGACAAACAGGGAACAGGGACAGCCAAGGATTGGTGCAAACTGTCCGCTCATCCCGGCAACCAAACCCAGAACTTTTTCTCTAGTGGTCAGTGTAGTGGTTCCATACATTGGTGACCGATGGGAGAAGGACCCCCTTATATCTCAGTGGTCAGTGTAGCGCGTTCCCTTACATTGGTGACCGATGGGAGAAGGACCCCCTTATATCAGTGGTCAGTGTAGAGGTTCCTTACATTGGTGACCGATGGGAGAAGGACCCCCTTATATCAGTGGTCAGTGTAGTGGTCCCTTACATTGGTGACCGATGGGAGAAGGACCCCCTTATATCAGTGGTCAGTGTAGTGGTCCCTTACATTGGTGACCGATGGGAGAAGGACCCCCTTATATCAGTGGTCAGTGTAGTGGTCCCTTACATTGGTGACCGATGGGAGAAGGACCCCCTTATATCAGTGGTCAGTGTAGTGGTCCCTTACATTGGTGACCGATGGGAGAAGGACCCCCTTATAGTAGTGGTCAGTGTAGTGGTCCCTTACATTGGTGACCGATGGGAGAAGGACTCCCTTATATCAGTGGTCAGTGTAGTGGTCCCTTACATTGTTGACCGATGGGAGAAGGACCCCCCTTATATCAGTGGTCAGTGTAGTGGTCCCTTACATTGGTGACCGATGGGAGAAGGACCCCCTTATATCAGTGGTCAGTGTAGTGGTCCCTTACATTGGTGACCGATAGGAGAAGGACCCCCTTATATCAGTGGTCAGTGTAGTGGTCCCTTACATTGGTGACCGATGGGAGGACTCCCTTATATCAGTGGTCAGTGTAGTGGTCCCTTACATTGGTGACTGATGGGAGAAGAAGACCCCCTTATATCATTGGTCAGTGTAGTGGTCCCTACATTGGTGGCCAATGGGAGAAGGACCCCCTTATAGTAGTGGTCAGTGTAGTGGCCCCTTACATTGGTGACTGATGGGAGAAGGACTCCCTTATATCAGTGGTCAGTGTAGTAGTCGTCCCTTACATTGGTGACCGATGGGAGAAGGACCCCCTTATATCAGTGGTCAGTGTAGTGGTCCCTACATTGGTGACCGATGGGAGAAGGACCCCCTTATATCAGTGATCAGTGTAGCGGTCCCTTACATTGGTGACCGATGGGAGAAGGACCCCCTTATATCAGTGATCAGTGTAGCGGTCCCTTACATTGGTGAGCGATGGGAGAAGGACCCCCTTATATCAGTGGTCAGTGTAGCGGCCCCTTACATTGGTGACTAATGGGAGAAGGACCCCCTTATATCAGTGATCAGTGTAGCGGTCCCTTACATTGGTGACCGATGGGAGAAGGACCCCCTTATATCAGTGGTCAGTGTAACAGTCCCTTACATTGGTGACCGATGGGAAAAAGGACCCCCTTATATTAGTGGTCAGTGTAGTGGTCCCTACATTGGTGACCGATGGGAGAAGGACCCCCTTATATCAGTGGTCAGTGTAGTGGTCCCTTACATTGGTGAGCGATGGGAGAAGGACCCTCTTATATCAGTGGTCAATGTAGCGCTCCCTTACATTGGTGAGCGATGGGAGAAGGACCCCCTTATATCACTGGTCAGTGTAGTGGGTCCCTTACATTGGTGACCGATGGGAGAAGGACCCCCGTATATCAGTTGTCAGTGTAGCGGTCCCTTACATTGGTGACCGATGGGAGAAGGACCCCCTCATATCAGTGGTCAGTGTAGTGGTCCCTTACATTGGTGACCAATGGGAGAAGGACCCCCTCATATCAGTGGTCAGTGTAGTGGTCCCTTACATTGGTGACCGATGGGAGAAGGACTCCCTTATATCAGTGGTCAATGGGAGAAGGACATTCTTACATGGTCATCGGTGGGAAGACTGCCCCCCTTACAGATCATTGATGTCAGCTGAGAGACAGAAATTGTTCATTGCTGAAGGAACCCCTAGAACCCTTTGGAGGAACCCCTGGCTGAGAAAGGATGGACTAGGCAGTCATATATTTCTGTCCCCCTTGGTGGGAGTGGAGGTGACCCCTCTATGAGGACATACAGTCCATACACACCCAGCACAAGGCCGGGGTCACACTACCAGACGGTTCTCGGGGCTGCAGTTCCTCTGAGCTCCACAAGGTGGTGATCTCACTTCTACCCAGAAAGGAAGTCTCTATGGAAGACAGGAAGTGATGTCAGGTAAACGGGAAGGTCTTTGTAGTATGAAGTAGAGAGGAGACATTGCTGGAAGTGACAGCAGAGGAGGTAATAAGATCTTATTTTATATTTACACCGAGTAACCCCCCCCGTCGCGTCATGCTCTTCCTCCACCGTCGCGCCCGTCCTCTTCCTCCACCGTCGCGCCCGTCCTCTTCCTCCACCCCGTCCTCTTCCTCGCGTCCGCCCGTCCTCTTCCTCCACCGTCACGCCCGTCCACTTCCTCCACCGTCACCGTCACCCCGTCCTCTTCCTCCACAGTCACGCCCGTCCTCTTCCTCCATTGTCATGTCCGTCCTCTTCCTCCATAGTCACTGTGACATCTTTTATCTCCAGCAGATGATGATACACACATATATAGTGTGGGAACCCAGATTAACCCCTTCAGGGGCAGAACATTCCCCCACTTCTGGGGCCGGAACATTCTCCTCATTGTGGAGACACAGTCTAGTAATATGATCCTCTAACAAGCAGCACTGACAAGAAACAGACAAGACAATGACCATCCTGACCATACATGGCCTACAGAGGGCGATGATTACACTACACAGGTAGCCAATGGGCAATCATTACACTATGCAGCCAACACAATGATGCAGTGCCGGGGTCAGGAGTATGGTGCATAGAGACCCTTACATTGCTGGTCAGGAGTATGTAGCATAGAGACCCTTACATTGCTGGTCAGGAGTATGGAGCATAGTGCCCCTTACATTGCTGGTCAGGAGGAAGAAAACATCCCCCAGCCAGCCATGAAGAATATGTTCCATCATGGTGTCAGGGAGGAAATACTGAGGGCTCTGAGGAAAGTAGAGGAGCTGAGGGGTCTGATGGAAGTAGAGGAGCTGAGGGGTCTGAGGGAAGAAGAGGAGCTGAGGGGTCTGAGGGAAGAAGAGGAGCTGAGGGGTCTGAGGGAAGAAGAGGAGCTGAGGGGTCTGAGGGAAGAAGGGGAGCTGAGGGGTCTGAGGGAAGAAGGGGAGCTGAGGGGTCTGAGGGAAGTAGAGGAGCTGAGGGGTCTGAGGGAAGAAGGGGAGCTGAGGGAAGTAGAGGAGCTGAGGGAAGTAGAGGAGCTGAGGTGTCGTAGAGGAGCTGAGGGGTCTGAGGGAAGAAGAGGGTCTGAGGGAAGTAGAGGAGCTGAGGGTTCTCAGGGAAGTAGAGGAGCTGAGGGGTCTGAGGGAAGTAGAGGAGCTGAGTGCGGTAGAGGAGCTGAGGGATCTGAGTGCAGTAGAGGAGCTGTGGGGTCTGAGGGAAGAAGGGGAGCTGATGGGTCAGAGGGAAGTAGAGGAGCTGAGGGAAGAAGAGGAGCTGAGGGGTCTGAGGGAAGAAGGGGAGCTGAGGGGTTGGGAGGATTTAATAAAGCTGAAAGACTTTAGGGGCCTCTGAAGGGGTAGAGTAGCTAAAGGATTCTGGGACCCTTGAGGGGGCAATCAGGCTGCAGGACTCTGAGGAAATAGGGGCTGGAGGGCTCTGGGGGACCCTGAGGAAAGCAGGGGGGTCTCTGGGTCTGTGACAGCCCTCCCACCCCACCCACACTTTTATTTTAAGACCTTACTGAGAACCTTAACCATGTGACCGTCTCTCTGGTCATGTGATTTGTTCTGGAATATCACGTAAGATTAAGAAGGACATTTCATCACTCATTGGTGAGCGTTTGTTCTGAGATGAGTTCTGTTTCAGCTACAAACCCAACAGAGAAAAGGGAATTTCTGATCCGGCAGACTAAGAGGGTACTGGGACCTCCAAGATGTAACAAACACTAAACTGTCCAAACTAAATTTGTTCCCATGGGGGTTGTAGTTCTTCAATGTCCACTATCCCTCCTATTGCCCCCCCCCATCTACATTCTATTATTGTGTAAACCGATACATCCAAATCATTCTTACTGTCATTTCCCAAATGGATCCGTCTACAAGGAGACCTGTATTGACCAATGAGGATGGAGGAGGACCGGAGTCTCATGACTGAGAGGATACTAAACCTCACCCTGGAGATCATCTACCTGCTGACCGAAGAGGTGAGGAGGATTCTGGGAAGTCACATGACATCACTCATCTCTATTAATAAAACACAGACCTGACCAGAGAGGTGAGGAGGATTCTGGGAGGTTACATGACATCACACAGACCTGACCGGAGAGGTGAGGAGGATTCTGGGAGGTCACATGACATCACACAGACCTGACCGGAGAGATGAGGAGGATTCTGAGAGGTCACATGACATCACTCCCTATCTCTATTAATAAACCCAAGACCTGACCAGAGAGGTGAGGAGGATTCTGGGAGTCTAACATGATGTTCCTATTGGTTCCTCAATACAGAGATTTCCTCTTCTGAAGTCAGGTGATCATATGACCATCACAGTGCCTCCATGTGACTCCCTAAACCCTGAGAGACACAACATGCAGAAGATTCTAGAAGTCACCAAGAAGATGATGGAGCTGCTGACAGGAGAGGTGAGCGGTGCCGGGAATTCTGGGACATTCTCCAGTAACAGACAAGGGATGTGTCTGGATGGTGACTGTATCATTGTGTGTGTCAGGTTCCTATAAGGTGTCAGGGTGTCACTGTCTATTTCTCTATGGAGGAGTGGGAGTATTTAGAAGGACACAAGGACCTCTACAAGGACGTCATGATGGACAATCAGCCGCCTCTCACATCACCGGGTAAGAGGAGACTTTATCCTAGATTGTAAGCTCGAAAGAGCAGCGCCCTCGATCCCCCCTCATGTTTTGCATTGTATTGGTATTGTTCTGTCACATGTTCTGTCCCCCTTTGTAATGTACAGCACGGAGCGAACTATTGGCGCTTTATAAATACTGTATAGTAATAATAATTGGAAAGGAGAGAGCAGTACGGAGGCTCCACCTAGATCCCCCATCATCTGATAAACACATAGAAACAATGGATTCAGTCAGTGTGTGTGTTTCCTACAGATGGATCCAGTCATGGGAACCCACCAGAGAGATGTCCCCGTCCTCTGTATTCCTGGGATTCCACACAGGAAAGTCACACCATCCCTCACTATCATCAGGTAGATGGATCCAGTCATGGGAACCCACCAGAGAGATGTCCCCATCCTCTGTATTCCTGGGATTCCACACAGGAAGGTCACAGATATGGACAGGTTGGTGGGATGGTGTATCTATAACATGAAAATAACTTGTAGAAATGATGTGTGGACCCTACAAGATGTTATTTTCTATGTGGTCTCTCATCATTGGAGCTGACAGTATTCTTTACAGATGATATTCTCTCTCCTTATCTTGGTTTAGGGTGAAGATCTGACAGATATAGAATTTGAGGTGAAAGAAGAAGAAGAGGCGTATGTGAGGGATGATCAACAGTCTATGGAGGAGGATGGAATAACGAGGACATTTATAGAGGAGGACACTCCTACAGAGATCAGCACAGGTGGGTCATGAACACTAAATCCATTCCTCCACCCATACTGCTCACTGATTGGTCACTGACCCATTTCCTAGTTCCCTTGAGGGTGGAATTGGAAGCTCCTCAGAGACCAAGCTGCCTGATGTGGGCGGAGTCCTGGTTTGGGGGAACCAATCAGCTCCTGGCTAGTAATCCTCTTTGTCTTTGTATTTTAGTCCATGGCTGGGAGATGAGGAAAACCTCCGAGGATTGTCTCACTTTGTCTCCAGAGTGGAAAGTAGAAGATGAGGACATCACACAAGATAGTCCAGGAGAAAACCCCGGCTCCCTCCAATGTCCATCCGGCACCACCCAGTGTAGATGGACCATCGGATTCCTCGCATCCTGAGGAACCTCAGACTGTGCGGGACTGGGCCGGCCTTCACACAGAGAAAGAGGTTTCCCTGTACTGTGTGCGGGAAGAGTTTCCGTTTAAAATACACTCTTACTGAGCATCAAAGGTCGCACACAGGTGACAAACCGTATTCCTGTCCTGAGTGTGGGAAATGTTTTTCACAGAAGACCCATCTTTCCAGACATCAGAGATCTCACACGGGGGAGAAGCCAGTTTGCTGTCCTGAGTGCGGGAAATGTTTTTCACAGAAGTCCCATCTTTCCAGACATCAGAGATCTCACACGGGGGAGAAGCCAGTTTGCTGTCCTGAGTGCGGGAAATGTTTTTCACAGAAGTCCCATCTTTTACAGACATCAGAGATTGCACACGGGGAGAAGTCGTATTCCTGTTCTGAGTGCGGGAAATGTTTTGTAACAAAATCAGTACTTGTCACACATCAGAGATCTCACATGGGGGGAAAGCAATTTTCCTGTCCTGAGTGCGGGAAATATTTTTCAATGAAATCTGATCTTTTCAAACATCAGAGATCTCACACGTTGGAGAAGCCACGTTTCTGTCCTGAGTGAGGGAAATGTTCCTCACTGAAGTCCTGTCTTCCTGTACATCAGGGGTCCCTGTTAGATTTTTAGACACATATAATACTTCTTCTAGTGTCTTGAGGCGATTATGAATGAAAGAGCCATTGAAATAAAAAAAATGAAGTGTGATTTTATTCTATCACACAATGGTGTCAAATAAACAATGTAAAGCGTATTATGAACAGTTCCATGTAGATACAACTACTGTAAAAATGACAAGCAAACGTTTAAAACAAAGTCAACATTATCTGTCATGGCTGTTCTGTCTTTGCCATGTGCGATACTCCATGCTGTCCTTCCCAATGACTTTGTTAAGAAGGAGAAGCCGGATGTGACTAAATTGTAGCTGGAAGTGATCTCAGTATGCACCTGTTGCAGCTTCTCAGACGTGTGTATGCAAGAGTCATGTAACGTGTGTGTGTGAGAGAGAGTGTGTGAGTGAGTGTGTCATGTCCGTCGTCTCATGGACTTTTAAGAGGCAAATGTACGTCATAGTTAGTGATCTTAATACCTTCTATGGAAAGTATTACTGCTTAGCAAAGCCATTTCATATAAGGAAAAGATGCTATACATATGATGTTTGATGGACAGGAACATATGTATGCTGATGTAAATAAATATTATAAGCTAATGACGTAACCCTCAGTTATATTTAAAGTATAGTATAGCTTAAGAACATATCAATGTATATATGTATCAATGTTAGAAACGTATACTAAATACACACAAATACCATTAAAATACGTAATGTAATAGTAAGTCCCTTCTAATAACCTTGACATAACTACCAAATACTTTTATGCCTAAATATAGCATACTCAACCCTTCAACTGGTATATCTTTTGGTCTCAACTATAATTGAAGAATAGTAAATACTACCATTTGTCAAAGACCACTTACACATATTAATATTAATTATGACTAATCATAAAAACCAAATATTTTGCAAGCTTGCCATCAATATAAGTGCCGAATCATAATTTAGATTTAACAGTCCCACACAACCCTGGAGGTGTATTAGTGCCTTGAGTGCGGGAAATGTCTTCTAGATGAATGTTGGTAGCCATCCCAGCTCTCATGTGGGGAAGAAGAAGCACCCCCTGATATACACCTCAGATATACTCCATGGCTGATCTTCATCATGGAAGGAACAGTCCATAAGGAGATCAGAGGTCACCAAAAGACGTGGATGAAGTGTGGGACCGGGTTGGCCATTGGTAGCAGGAGAAGAATAAAAATGGCATCCTCACCTGTCATTGGCTGAGGACATTTTGTGGTGGGAGATTTCACAAACACTTAGATAAAATTGTTCATCATATGTGACAAACATTCAGCCAATCATGGCGTACGGTGATTTGAGATGAACTTCAGTTCAACCTAGCGGCTGTGACGATTGTGCGCAGTAGAGACATGGATGCTGTACGTGACTGCCATCTTGTTAGGAATCAGCCTTGTTGTCTCTCCTCTCCTCCCTCTTGAAATTAAATTTGTAGCTGGAAGTTAAAGGGACATCAAAAGGGCCTCATCCTAAATAAAACACAGATGAGCTTCATGGCTGTAAACTGCTAATTAGTTTGTTGCAGGAGGTCTGCTTTGAAAGCCACTTTCCTCTGCCCAATAATAAAAACAATAACTCAGTCATGACCTGTTGGGCCATTAGGGCTCTAGGATAAAGAGCCATAAAATGTCCATTCCACATGTAACAATTCATAATATTAATATTAGGTATATATTTGGATAGATCATTTTAATCCGAGTCAAACAAGGTCTTAAATGACTGTATTGGCACCTAGACGAGAGAAGAAAGCAGTCTCTTCCCTCCTACGTGACAAGGGTGCGCTGTGTTTGGTATTCCTTGGTTCGAAATATAATTCTGAATATGAATCTGCCAGTTGCTAGGATGCTACCTGTACCTATTGGAGGTTTATGACCTTACTATGGGGATTTGGTCATAACCTGGGTCCCTGCCTAACACCCATCCCCAAACTGGATGATTGGTCATTTGTTCTCAGGCCACACCCCTTTAGTATCATAGAAAAGGACTGACAGGCTGGAGAAGAGAGCTCTCATTTAACATCAATCAGGAAACATCTAATGGATGTGAGAGCCAAGGCAATCTTTGTGTGTTCGGACAATTGGACTCTTAATCCAAGGACATTGCAAGTATTCTGCCTTCTGAAACTCCTTTCTTTTATCTCTCTATTGTTTTATTGTTCTTCTTTATATATTTGTTACATCTTTTCTGTAAATATATTAATTTGCAACCGTTTTGACCTTTTTACTAATAAATCCTATTTTTATAAGTGTTGTGAAACTGTCTTTAAAAAGCTTTTGCTGCAAACTAAAGAATCCCTGTCCTGGAATTGTGTTCCTGTATGTATAATCCTCTGATATCCCTGTCCCTGGAAGAGTGTTCCCGTATGTATAATCCTCTGATATCCCTGTCCCCTGGAAGAGTGTTCCCGTATGTATAATCCTCTGATATCCCTGTCCCTGGAAGAGTTTAGTTCCCCGTATGTATAATCCTCTGATATCCCTGTCCCTGGAAGAGTGTTTCCCGTATATAATCCTCTGATATCCCTGTTTCCCCCCCGGAAGAGTGTTCCCGTATATAATCCTCTGATATCCCCCGTCCCTGGAAGAGTGTTCCCGTATGTTAATCCTCTGATCTCCCCGTCCCTGGAATTGTGTTCCTGTATGTATAATCCTCTCTGATATCCCTGTCCTTGAAGAGTTGTTCCTGTATGTATATAATCCTCTGATATCCCTGTCCTGGAAGAGTGTTCCCGTATGTATAATCCTCTGATCTCCCTGTCCCTGGAAGAGTGTTCCCGTATGTAAAATTCTCTGATATCCCCTGTCCCTGGAAGAGTGTTCCTGTATATAATAATCCTCTGATATCCCTGTCCCTGGAAGAATGTTCCCGTATATAATCCTCTGATATCCCCGTCCCTGGAAGAGTGATTCCCGTATGTATAATCCTCTGATCTCCCCGTCCCTGGAAGAGTGTTCCTGTATGTATAATCCTCTGATCTCCCCGTCCCTGGAAGAGTGTTCCTGTATGTATAAATCCTCTGATCTCCCCGTCCTTGGAAGAGTGTTCCTGTATGTATAATCCACTGATATCCCCCGTCCCTGGAAGAGTGTTCCTGTATGTATAATCCTCTGATCTCCCCCCGTCCTTGAAGAGTGTTCCTGTATGTATAATCCTCTGATCTCCCCGTCCCTGGAAGAGTGTTCCTGTATATAATCCTCTGATCTCCCCGTCCCTGGAAGAGTGTTCCTGTATGTATAATCCTCTGATCTCCCCGTCCCTGGAAAAGTGTTCCTGTATGTATAATCCTCTGATATCCCTGTCCCTGGAAGAGTGTTCCTGTTAGTAAAATCCTCTGATATCCCTGTCCCTGGAAGAATGTTCCTGTATATATAATCCTCTGATGTCCCTGGAAGAATGTTCCTGTAGATATAATCCTCTGATCTCCCCGTCCCTGAAGAGTGTTCCTGTATATATAATCCCCTGATCCCCGTCCCTGGGAAGAGTGTTCCTGTATGTTATAATCCTCTGATATCCCCGTCCCTGGAAGAGTGTTCCTGTATGTATAATCCTCTGATATCCCCCGTCCCTGGAAGAGTGTTCCTGTATGTATATAATCCTCTGATATCCCCGTCCCTGGAAGAGTGTTCCCGTGTATAATCCTCTGATATCCCTGTCCCTGGAAGAGTGTTCCCATAATAATCCTCTGATATCCCTGGATGGAAGAGTGTTCCCGTATATAATCCTTTATGATATCCCTGTCCCTGGAAGAGTGGTCCCGTATATAATCCTGATATCCCCGTCCCTGGAGAGTGTTCCTGTATGTAAAATCCTCTGATATCCCTGTCCCCTGGAAGAATGTTCCTGTATATATCCTCTGATGTCCCTGGAAGAATGTTCCTGTAGATATAATCCTCTGATCTCCCTGTCCCTGGAAGAGTGTTCCTGTATATATAATCCCCTGATATCCCCGTCCCTGGAAGAGTGTTTCCTGTATGTATAAATCCTCTGATATCCCTGTCCCTGGAAGAGTGTTCCCGTATGTCTAATCCTCTGATGTCCCTGGAAGAATGTTCCTGTATATATAATCCTCTGATCTCCCCCGTCCCTGGAAGGAGTGTTCCTGTTGTGACAGTAGGCAGGTGAAATCACCTGGTTGCGTCCTGGATGGACGATATATTTGTCCGAGGTTCAGGGTTTATGGGGATTTGTACCACTAGAGCAGCGGTTCTCAACCTGGGGGGTCGCGACCCCTTGGGGGGTCGAACGACCATTTCCCAGGGGTCGCCTAAGACCATCGGAAACACATATTTCCGATGGTCTTAGGAACCCGAGACACCGCTGCTCTGTCTCGCGATCTGTGGGCAGGATGATATGCTGCCCCTGTAACCTGGCCACACCCCTCCGGGCATCATCAACAGCTCCGCCTCCTCGCCGCTGATTGGCCACCGGAACTGTAGCTCAGGAGAGGCACATAGGCGGCCAATCACCGGCGAGGAGGTGGAGCTTGGAGAGGAGGAGCCGAGCGGCAGAGCGGCAGATCGAAGAAGATCGAGGGGAGCTGCAGGACCCGAGTGAAGAGGAGAGATTCCTCGGCCAGAGAAGGAAGACAGCTGACAGGTAAGTGCAAATTTTGCTTCTGCAGGCTGTAGATGGGAGAGGGAGAGATCGCGAGCTGAGCCCAGGCTGGAGCAGGGGTCAGCAAGGTAAGTATCATTGGTGTCATGGGAGGAAATAGTGCCCCATCATTTGTGTCACTAATACCAACGATGGGGCACTATTCCTCCTCCCCCCACTGACACCAATGATAGGGGCACTATTCCTCCCCCCACTGACACCAACGATGGGGCACTATTCCTCCCCCTCACTGACACCAACAATGGGGCACTATTCCTCCCCCACTGACACCAACGATGGGGCACTATTCCTCCCACTGACACCAACGATGGG